GGAGGCAGGTGGGGCACAAAGGAAAGGAGCAGGGGGCAAACCCCATGGCACTACCAGGAGCCAAGCACACTAGCTTAGCTAAAACTGGCCCATAGCAAAACAACTGCATTAAAACATCCATAATTAAAATATTGTTATAAGCAAGCCCATTAAAAGAGCATAATGGTTAAAAAACACACAGTTAAAACAATAAGAGTAGAAGTTCAATTAACTGAACAGGATCTGGTGGGGTATCAATACTGATGGGGCCTTTCAAACGTTAGCAAGGATAACAATCCATGGTATTAGTCGCAGAATCATAGAATTGTAGAGTTGGAAGGGACCCTGAGAATCATCTAGTTCAACCCTCTGCAATGCCGGAATCTCAACTAAAGCATACATGATGGGTATCCTTCCAATTGCTGCTTAAAAACCTCCAAGGAAGAAGAGCCTACCAACCCCTGAAGGAGTCCATTCCACTACCAAACAGCTCTTACTGTCGGTAAGTTTTCCCTGCTGTTTAGACAGAATCTCCTTTCTCCTTTCTTATAACTTGAATCCTTTGGTTCAAGTCCTACCTTCCAGAGCAGGAGAAAACAAATGGCTCCGTTGCTTGAGATATCTGGCAATGGCTATCAAGTCTCCTCTTCCCCAGGCTAAACATAGCCAACTCCCTCAACTGTTCTTCATCAGGCTTCATTTTCAGACGCTTCCTCATCGATGAAGAAGCCTGTCTCCATGCCACCAGCGGCTCATAACCATCAGGCCATGGCACAGCCACCCAGTTTCCATTTGTTGCTCTTCATGCCCTTACTGGGGCCCAAGGGCCATGTTCCCTTCAGAACAACCTTCTGAGGGCTACATGGTCGTGCAGTGAAAGGAAAAAGTGAGCAGAACAATGAACACAAATGTGTGTGATATTTACAATGCAGTCAAACCATCAATGCATGTTTGCTAGATAGGCACATGAGAGGAGCTGAAGTTCAGAGTTTTCCTCTAAGTTTGCTAGGGAGAACTCTGACAGACCTTCCCACTGTTCCTTAACAGGGGGAGGCCATAGCGATATATAATCTCCTCACCTGGCTGGGCGCTTCCTCCTTGCTATTTCCTCTTTCACCTCATTCCAGAAATGTGAGGACATCTGCACGCCTGAGCTCTGTTGCTCAGACACCATCTTAAGCATGTCTTATAACTGTTGCCATTTTAAGCCATCCTGAACAAAGCTGCTGAATCTGTTGCTCTTCAACAAGTATTCTGAACAAGTAAATGTTATTTTTTACCTTTTACAAGACTGTCTGTGTGATTATTGTTTTCAGGGAGAGAAAAGCGGGATACTAGGAAAATCCAGGCTGGCTTACTTAAACGAAGCCTCCCATTTAAGCTGCAAAGGGATGCGCTCTGCTAAACTCACAAATATGGGGAAGGAAGGGTAATATCTAATAAATATATCCTCCCCTAGCATCTCCGGACATCTCTGCAAAATACTACATTCATACAGCAGGCTAGTTTCGGCACAAACTCACATACATCTCTCTCTGTCCTGCAGGCAGGCATAAGCACTCAAGGAATTGGTGAAGCAGGGCTGCTGTGGGATGTGGCCCAGGAAGAATTCCAAGGGCCAGGTCAGGAAGCCTGGAGGGCCGCATTCAGCCACCACACCCCTTTCTTGGAATCAGTTTCCAGGTATTTCACTTCTGCTTCCCCTTTGCAGCGTCTCCTTGATCACAGAAAGTTTTGACAAGCGATATCTTGGATCGGAGACTCGAGTACCAGGCTAACGAGCTACAGAATCGCAAGGGAGGGAAGCCTGAGGAGGACTCAAGTCTGCCAATCCTTCCCGAGTTAGGGCTAAATCTAAAACTGGCGATGCACATTATTAGATTCTGCCTTGCAAAGCTATAGAAACCCATAGCTTGCCATGCAGAGTTAATTTATGTGGCCATTAACAGCAAACTCCATTGTTAAATCATCACCCACGAAAAGCTATTGTGTGCCCAGCTTAGCTCTGTCCCACTCAGGCTGATAAAACGCTCTCCAGACAATTGCAATTATGAGTAATTTGTAAGAGTAATAAGAGCTGCTTTTTATTACAGGCAATAAAATCAATTTTTCTTTCAATTATCTTTCTAGGCTACAATGTGTAACAGCTGCCCCTTGGTGAATGCAGCGAAGAAAAGTAACTTTGGTTTTAAGGACAAGGCCTGATTCTATGGGGTTTTCGTTTTATTTCATCCCCAACCTCTTAATGAGCAGGGGATAAAAAAATATATATGCCACAACCTCCTCCTGGCTCCAAGTTTGTCATGGAAAGGAAGTGTTACCCATGCATAACCTAAGCCCCACTGATTTCAAAGGAACCTACAGATTGAGGGTTGCATTCCAGTGTTGCATTCCAGTGGACAGAACATCAAACTGTGACCTGAGGGACCAAATCTCCAGTCCAGCATGAAGCTCATATGGTGACCTTGGGCCAGACACTGCCTCTAAGCCTAACCTACCTCACAGGGTTGTTGCGGGGATTAAATAGGAAGGCAGGTAGAATCATGTATGCCACCTGGAGCTCCTTGGAGAAAAAAGATAGGATACCATATAAATGCAATAAACCATAGTAAAGGTAAAGGGACCCCTGACCATTAGGTCCAGTCGCGGACGACTCTGGCGCTCATCTCGCTTTACTGGCCGAGGGAGCCGGTGTACAACTTCCGGGTCATGTGGCCAGAATGACTAAGCTGCTTTCTGGCGAACCAGAGCAGCACACGGAAACACAGTTTACCTTCCCTCCAGAGCAGTACCTATTTACAGTGGTACCTCAGGTTACAGAGGCTTCAGGTTACAGACTCCACTAACCCAGAAATAGTACCTCAGGTTAAGAACTTTCCTTCAGGATGAGAACAGAAATCACGCTCCAGCGGCATGGTGGCAGCGGGAGGCCCCATTAGCTAAAGTGGTGCTTCAGGTTAAGAACAGTTTCAGGTTAAGAACAGACCTCCAGAAATAATTAAGTTCTTAACCCGAGGTACCACTGTGTCTACTTGCCTTTGACGTGCTTTCGAACTGCTAGGTTGGCAGGATCAGAGACCGAGCAACAGGAGCTCACTCCGTCGCAGGGATTTGAACCGCCAACCTTCTGATCGGCAAGCCCTAGGCCCTTTGTTTTAACCCACAGCGCCACCCGCGTCCCTTAATAAACCATAGTAAACATATGTAAATCCTATACAGAGTTGGCCCCATTGACATTCATAGAGCTAAGATAGGGCCATTAATTTCAGGGGGTGTACACTGAGTGAAACCTTGTTGAATACAATCCTCATCCTATGAAACTTACCAAAACGCCCCATCAGTATTGGCACCCCACCAGATCCTGTTGAGGCAAGCATGCCCCTGAATTGAACTTGTGATCTTATTTTATTTTTAACTGTTATGCTGTTTCAATGGGCTTGTTTATTATAAGTATCTCAAGTATGAATGTTTTGATGCAGTTGTTTTACTATCAGCCAGTTTCAACTCACCTGGTGTGCTAGTGGTTGAATGCAACCCCAATCCTATTGGAAGTAGGGCCCATTCAATTTAGTGTGGGATCCTGCAAGTGAAAGTGCGTGAGATTACTGCTTTCAGCACAACTAGCTTTCTCCAAATCAGCGTCCTTGTGTGGTTTCCTGTATGACTGGCTAGAGATCAATAAAGCTGTCGGTTTTGGTTCCTCCTAGTTTCTCACTTTTTAAAGTCCAGTTCACCCCATTTCTGGATCAGTTTGCGATTTATTTTTTCAAAGCCCACACAAAAAATCCATGCAAATTTCATGTGCATTTCTTCCAATGTACTCATTTTTTCTATGCAATTCCTCCCCAATAGAAGTCATTTTTAAAATCACTAATATGCACGTTTTAAGTGTGTGCATGGCATTGTCTTATGCTCCCCCTCCCCCTTTTTTTGAGAACTGTACAGTGGTACCTCGGGTTACATATGCTTCAGGTTACAGACTCCGCTAACCCAGAAATAGTGCTTCAGGTTAAGAACTTTGCTTCAGGATAAGAACAGAAATCGTGCTCCGGCGGCGCGACAGCAGCAGGAGGCCCCATTATCTAAAGTGGTGCTTCAGGTTAAGAACAGTTTCAGGTTAAGAACAGACCTCCGGAATGAATTAAGTTCTTAACACGAGGTACCACTGTATTGCAAAATGTGGAGATGAGAATCTGGGAGGGCAATTGCAGTTTTGTTCCCCTACTGGTTTGGGAAGTAGCTTTGTATTAAAACACGAACCAGGCGGATGTCTTCCTGATCCCTCGCTCTGGGGACAGAGCAACTGGGCTGCGGTGGAGCTAACCGCCGCCGCCCCATCCCTGGTTCACTGCTCCTCAATTTCTGAGTTGCCGTTTCCTTGTTATCATAGTGCCTGAAACTCTCTTAAGTCAAGAGCTCAGTATTTGCATGAATTCCCCCAGGAACTGGGAAGGAACTGTTCCAAGGCCCTCGGGGGCTAAGTGTGCATGCTGAAACATATGAATAAACCTGTCAGTTTTGCAAATCATTAGGAAGGGATGGCTTTAGGGTTGATTTAAATAGGGACTGCTGTGCCTGAGGATTTGGAGCACAGCAGAATGTTTCGCTTCCATTATTTCTCGTGCTCCATTCAGGGTTAATTGCAACGTTACCGGCCGTTGTGCGGATGTCCTTTTAGAGAACAAGAAACTGAAATTTCACCCCTGCCAAAAGACAGGAAGGACCCTTGGGGCGCTAGGTGGGGTGAAAGCACAAACACAGAGCAGGATGAGGATGCCACCCAAAGGTTTGATTTTTGACTCATTCAGGGGGAAAAATTCCCATTGTCTCCTGTACTGACTGGTCAGCTCACCCCCTTTCTCTTTGGGGAAAGGCAGCAGCTCATCTGCCTTGTACACAGAAAGTTCCAGGTTCAATACGCAGTACCTCCAGGTCCACAGGATCATAGAAAGCTGCCTTGTACCTTGGTCCATGTAGCTTGGTGTTGTCTACACTGACTGGCAGCCTCTCCCAACGCTACTTGGCAATGCCAAGGATTGAACCTGGAACTTTCTGCATGCAAAGCAGATGCTGAACCACTGAGCTAGCATCCTAGGCTATGTCACAGCTGCAGAACATGAGGTTTCCTGTTTGAAACTTTCAAGGATCACCCCCCCGCCTCAGTTGAAACCATTGTCTATTACCTGTCTTTCACTTTCATATGTGTCCATTCATCAATCTGTTCCATTATGCATCCCTCTACAATGTGTGTGTGTGTGTATAAAATCAGTACATAAATCCACATCATGAAATATGGATTTAAATATGTATACAGTGGTACCTCGGGTTAAGTACTTAATTCGTTCCGGAGGTCCGTTCTTAACCTGAAACTGTTCTTAACCTGAAGCACCACTTTAGCTAATTGGGCCTCCCGCTGCTGCCGCGCTGCCAGAGCACAATTTCTGTTCTCATCCTGAAGCAAAGTTCTTAACCTGAAGCAATATTTCTGGGTTAGCGGAGTCTGTAACCTGAAGCGTATGTAATCCGAGGTAGCACTGTATCAGGTGAATGCATGCTTTTCTAAACTTATTTTGTCTTAATTTCAAATCAATTTTGATACAGTGTCTGAGCCAAAAATTGCATTGCAAAATTCAGAGAAGTGGAAAATGCAAAAGTTGATTAAACTCTGCTCCATATATTAGTACAAGAGGTGCAAACGAGATCAATTTGCTTAAAAATGCAAGCTGAACAAACTTCTACTCCATCCCTAGTATATAGCCGGATGGCAACTTTCTGATTTTGATTGTTTGAAGGCTATTTTGGGGGGCACAAGGACACACAGCAGGAGCAGCTACTAGACGCTTCTGCAATTAGCTTTCAGAAAGGTGCTGGGGATTTTCTGTTAGGGCTGTCACTTTCAGTAGGCGAGCTGATGTTTTAATGAAGATATGAGGCTTGCAAGTAGCTTTGTGGTTTGCTTTCTCCTGCCACACCACTGCCTCATGACAGGCTGGGGCTCCTCTTCTGTCCACTGAGCTGGGACTTAGTCAAACACAGATCCTGCCATGCTGGAAGGAGGCCAAGATTCAGGACAGACAAAAGGAAGTAGTTTTTCACACAGCACAGAATTAAACTATGGCATCTGCTCTCACAAAAGGTGCAATGATGATGGCCATCCATTTCAAATCATTTTACTTGTGTGCCGCCTTTCCAAAATTAAAACCATGCTTAAGGCGGTTTGCAATATATAAAAAAATTGCATAACTAGAAATGTAACTACAGAAGTAGTCGTAAACAATAAATAAAACATCAAAGAGTGCACAACCAAATCAAACAATTTCCACATAAATAATGAAATTCAAAATAAATATGCAAAAAATTAACATTACGAACAACAACAACACCCCAGCCCACGAGGTAGATCAGCAGCCTCAGCTTTTGTAGCTGGAGTCAGTCAAGGCCTCCGCTTTTGTAGCTGGAGTCAGTTGCCTGGCTTAAAAAGAAGATTTGAGAAGTTTGTGGCAGATAAGGCTATTAGTGGCAATATTCTTCATCCACTGTCAAGGCAGTATGCCTCTGAATCCCAGTTGCTGGGAATCACAAGTGGGGAAAGCACTGTTGCATCTGTGTCCTGTTTTTGAGCTTCACATCTGGTTAGCCACTGTGTGAACAGTATGCTGAACCAGATGGGTCTCCTTGGGCCTGATCCAAAAGGGCTCTTCCTATGCTCTTAATCCACTAGCTGCTCACCAGCACCTTACTGTTGCTACCAGAAAATCTGCACCCAATAATGTTGGCCTTGTCCCTCCTGAGGTCACATCAATTGTTGGTGTTATATGGAACTTGGGCTGCAGACTTATTTGGGCCTTCCAGTATTTACAACGTTCAGATTTTTGGGCATTGAATTACAAGAGGATCTGTCCTGGAGTGTCAACACAAGGGGGCTTGTGAAGAAGGCGTAGCAGAGACTGTACTTTTTGAGAATACTAAGGAAAAACCATCTTCCGCAGAAACTGCTGCTTGCCTTCTATCACTGTGCCATTGAGAGCGTGCTCACTTATGGCTTATGTGTGTGGTACGGAAGCTGTACTACCCAGGACAGGATGGGGTTGTGCAGGGTTGTTAAGGCAGCAGAGAGCATTGTTGGCTGCCCACTCTCTACCTTAGAGCAGATTTATGCCACAAGGTGCCATAGGAAGGCACTGGACATAGTAAAGATCCATCGCATCCTGGTCACTGTCTCTTCGAGCTCTTGCCGTCGGGATGGAGATACAGGACGATGAAGACAAGAATGAGCCATCTTAAGAACAGCTTCTTCTCCAGAGCGATCTCGGCCCTGAATGGGAAGCCCGGACTTTGAAAGTCATCTAATCTCCCTTGCTGTATTATACTGTCCCCGAAGGGGGCAATGACAATAAAGATATTATTATTATTATTATGTTTCTAGAGGACTTCTATCATGCTTCTTGACTAAAGTCCCCCGAGAAGCTCACAACCTTCCCCAAATGCAATGAATGCATCCAGAGCCACATTCTTTAAACCAGTGATGGCTGTTTAACAATTTTGAGGATAATATCAAAGACCCTGGCCCAAAGTGTATAAACAATTCTGCATTCCCAGCAAGCATGAAAATATGTTCCAAGGTTCCCATTATGTGTGGGATGTGATACATAAGTAGCAGTCAAGTACAACATTCCTTGTTTTCCTAGAGTGGACATGCAAGGGGATGTTTGGTCCAGCCAGTCGGAACTTCTTTTTTCCTCCTGGGCTGGGACAAACTTCCTTTTGCATGTGACTAGAGGTGGGCATGACCTTACCTGTGGAGGTAACAAAAGCACAGGGCACACAGCACCCTCTCTCTTTTTAACTTCCTCCATCGTAGGACCAGCAGCTTTATAGCTAGAGATGCTCTGTTGGCAAAGGGACTATCTCCATATAGGATAGACCCACATGTATATACTTTGTAACTAAGTCTGCCTTCAGGGATCCATCTATGAACTGAATGTGTGAGTAAACTTCTTTTATATACTTTACGCAAGATTGTGGTGTGTTTATTCTTTTAGGAGGGATATAAGGGGACTTACCAGGAATCTAATATTAAGATTCGCATTAAGCAAGTCTGCAACAAGCTACCCGATGTGGGTTTAAAAGGGGAATGTAAAACTCTGCTAAGTTATAGAACTTGCTAGTGCAAGTTAGGAAGAATATTATTAAACAATATATCCTCTCCTGCTTCCCTGAACATTCCCACATTATGATCCATACTGAAATCCTCAACAGTTTGTGGCCAGCCACTTCCCTTTCTCACCCAAGCTTATCAGGGGTGGTAAAGAGTCACATGAAGCCTTCCATCAGCACCCAGAGGCTCATGAAACCACAGGAATTGTGATCTGGATAATATGTGGCAAGCTGACTTGTGAGCAGCTTTTAGAATGTGTTGTTAAAAGTCAAAAAGCAGATATAAATCCTGCAAATCAAGGATGGGGAACTGGTGGACCTCCAGCTGTCATTGGTCTCCAACTCCCATCAAGCCAAGACAGCTTGACCAGTGGTCAGTAATTACAGGTAGAGTCCTAGATAAAAAGACACCCCCAATCCCTGCTGCAACAAAATAAAATAAAATGCCTGCTTTGTGCAGAATCTGTCACAAAAGTCAGTGCATTTTGTCTTCGACATATGGAAAAGTAAATGTTGACATTTAGCATCTCACTGTCATTTCACAGCGCTTGCCTAGATATTTAGTGTATCGCCACATTGCACACCCTACACTTATCTCTCTGCTCTTAACAACAACCCTGCACAGGAAAGCAGAATTATTATCCCCGTTTCAGATACAGAATAGAATAGAATTGTAGAGTTGGAAGGGATCATGAGGGTCATCTAGTCCAACCCCCTGCAATGCAGGAATCTTTTGCTCAATGTGGGACTCTAACCCACAACCCTGAGATTAAGAGCACCATGCTTTGCCAACTGAGCTATCCCAGTTGTCTGGAAGATGGGGGCTGAAAGGGAGAACCGAATAGATAGATACTGGGTGTTGTGATGTCCCAATGGAAAAATGCTGGCTTTTTACCCTAGTTGAGAAGAGAATGGTAAGTCCAGGGCTGAAAGCATCCTTATAGATTTCCAAACAAGTACATTTTCAGAACTGAAAACGAATTGAAGCAGGCAAGAAACTTGAAGTGCTAAGGAACCTATTTTTAAAAGGAGATACTGAAGATTTGGAAAAGAGAAATAAAGGGGTTCCTTAAGACTGGAGCACCTGACATGTATTTGAAGCAGATTCAGAAGGAGAATGTGCTGGGGGGCGGAATCTCATTAAGAAGTCATGTATCAGGTATTGGCATGGATGTATACAGTCCCCTGTCACTGATATTCTTGCATCTACTTAGTCTGTGTATCATCTTTCTTTCTTCTCTGGCGATCACTCATGGCTGAGTAAGATTGTCTTCCATGAACACGGTCCTAACAGTGAGTCCGTAAGCGACTGTGGAGTCCAATTCTGGATCCACATGTCCTTCCACAGTGGGGACATAGGTTTCTGGGCAGGAGTTGTTCATGGTGAGGGTTTGTCAAGCGTACCTTCCTCTTAGCCTGTTTCTCCCTTGCGTCCTGAGTTTGAGTGTCTTCAAAACCGATGACACCTTTGGTAAAGGCTGTTCTCCAACTGGAGCACTCGCAGGCCAGTGTTTCCCAGTTGTCAGTGTTTATACTACTTTTTTTTAGAGTTGCCTTGAGACAGTCTTTAAACCTCTTTTGTTGACCACCAGCATTACGCTTTCCATTTTAGAGTAGTTGCTTGGAAGACGATAACCAAGCATCTGAACAACATGACTAGTCCATGACACCTTTGGTAAAGGCTGTTCTCCAGTGTTCTCCCCTGATATTCTTGCATCTACATAGCCTGTGTATAAAACTGTTATTGTTACTCCCTCTTGTAAGACTGCTGTCCATCTCAACCTGGATGTATGACAAAGTGAGACTAGACACAGGGTAAGGCATGGTTCATGCACAGCTCTGGGGAACAAAGAGCTCTGAAGCTGTTCTAGTCAGGAATAAACTCCAACTGAACCCTGGTTATGAAAAAAGGTAAAGGTAAATGGACCCCTGACCGTTAGGTCCAGTTGCAGACTACTCTGGGGTTGCGGCGCTCATCTCGCTTTACTGGCCGAGGGAGCTGGTGTACAGCTTCCGGGTCATGTGGCCAACATGACTAAGCCACTTCTGGTGAACCAGAGCAGTGCACGGAAATGCCATTTACCTTCCTACTGGAGCGGTACCTATTTATCTACTTGCACTTCGTGCTTTCGAACTGCTAGGTTGGCAGGAGCAGAGACCGAGCAATGGGAGCTCACCCTGTCATGGGGATACGAACCGCTGACCTTCTGATCAGCAAGCCCTAGGCTCTGTGGTGTAACCCACAGCGCCACCCACGTCCCAATCGAAAAAAGGTACTTTATATATTGGTAAAAGATAATAATGCAGAGCAGGTTTCTTTTTTTAAAACCTCCCTCCCACTGTGGACGTAGCATCATTCCAAGAGGGGCACTGTGAGGGGAAATGACTGCCACTGGGCTGCCACTAACAGCGTTGTTGTGTCACGTGTTGGCAGCGATTTTTGTTTTCAGAAGCAGGTAAGTGGCTGTCCACACTGCAATTCCCAGAAGTTCCTCGCTCCTGAAATCTCTTCCACATGCCTGAAAATAATCGCAGAAACACCCCCCTGCTTTCGCACTCTTTGAATTGGGTCCAGGAGGGAGGAAGTTCCAATAAGAATTTCAAGGGAAGCTGAAATAAGTTCATAAAACTGGTGAAATTACAGAGGAGGAAAGGACATTTCATTCACCCTTCCTCGGCATGCAAGTCTTGTTATTATGAGAACAGGTTATTCCATTGCACATAGGACTGCAGCTTTAAATACTCCTTCTTATAACCAGATGTTTTATGTCATGCAGGGCACCGATTAGAAAGAAACCCAGTTTTCTCGACTCCAAAGGGACCCACACGCTTAATGAGCAAATGCTCTTCATGGCACAGCTGAAGAGCAACCTATCAAATGTGTGTCGTTTAGTCAAGCATTCAACCACTGACCCAATTTAAGTTTATTTAGAATAGTATGTGTTTGATAGGGTGTGCACAGGAACCATAGAATTGTAGAGTTGGAAGTGACCATAAGGGTCTTCCAGACACTCCATATGTCCCTATTTTCCAGGGACAGTCCTGGATTTACAGAAGCTGTCCTGGTTTCTGGTTTGATCCCAGAATGTCCCGCTTTTCCTTAGAATGTCCCTATTTTCATCAGTGAAATGTTGGAGGTTTCGGAATTATGCAACACACAAGCCAAGAAGAGAAGTAACAAAACAATCTTTAGAAGACATCTGAAGGCATTCCTGTATAGGAAAGTTTCTAAAAAATGTTTAATGTTTAATTATATTATGTTTTTATAATAGGACATCCCTATTTTCATCAGAGAAATGTTGGCGGCTCTAGTCTTCTATTCCAACCCCCTGCAATGAACAAATATTTTTGCCCAACATGGGGCTTGAACCCACAACCTTGAGATTAGGCGTCCCATGCTCTACATAACGTTTTCTCAGTCTGAGTACCCCTTTCCTCTTCTAGACAACTTTCCAGAGAGCGCTGAACATAGCTAGAAGCTATTTTGTTGGACATAGGTAAAGGTAAAGGAACCCCAGACCATTAGGTCCAGTCATGACTGACTCTGGGGTTGCGGCGCTCATCTCGCTTTATTGGCCGAGGGAGCCGGCATTTGTATGCAGACAGCTTCCGGGTCATGTGGCCAGCATGACTAAGCTGCTTCTGGTGAACCAGAGCAGCGCACAGAAACGCCATTTACCTTCCCGCCGGAGTGGTACCTATTTATCTACTTGCACTTTGACGTGCTTTCGAACTGCTAGGTTGGCAGGAGCAGGGACTGAGCAAGGGGAGCTCACCCCATCATGGGGATTTGAACTGCCGGCCTTCTGATCAGCAAGTCCTAGGCTCTGTGGTTTAACCCACAGCACCACCCGCATCCCTTTTGTTGGACATAGCTAGAGGTTATTTATCTATTATCTTTGAGAATTCTTGGAGGTCCCTAGATGAGGTCCCTACAGACTGGAGATGGGCAAATGTTGTCCCCATTTTCAAAAAGGGGAAGAAGGAAGCCCCAGTTAACTTCCGACTGGTGAGTTTGACATCGATACCAGGGAAGGTCCTAGACCAGATCCAACAGTCTGCTGGTTTCTATACAGACTCACATATCCTCCATTCCAGAAACTGAGAGGCATTACCAGAGCTGAAAGAAATATTCCCGCTATGCAAATAGCACTTGAGGGGCAAAGTTGAGCCATCCAGGGGTGGTGCCTTGAGAAGTGTGGTCCAGAGAGCCAGACAAAGAGGCCTGGAGGCTTGCATTTGACCGCCCTAGAGCTAAAGCTCCCTGTCCCTAAGTATGGGCTGGTAGAATCAAGCAAAGCAAGAGGTTTGGTTGGATCTGGGCTTTTTAAGCCAAGGAGTTGGGCTTGTTCTCCTGCCCCTGCCAGTATCTTAACAACATGGACAATATGGGCCTGTCACTTTTGCTTTGACGTATGGGCAAAAGCCAACCGCACAACAAATCTTTGGAAAGCAGACCAAAGAGACCGGAAAACAACAGCTCCAAACAAATGGACAAATGTCAACCGGTGAACTCCCTTCATCCTCCTTCCTTATTAGGGACTCAGCTCAGCTTGTTCTCATCCTTCAGGCAAAAGTCTGAGCAAATAGATGAGTCTCATTCCTCGCCCTTAATGTCAACGTTAGTGCCATCTGGCAGGCAGAAGGAATGCACATTCCATCACTGAAGGCCAGCAGGCTTGCAAAATTCAGTCTATGTTGGGAGAGGAGAGGAGCCTCTCGGCAGAGATGAGATGCTGCTTCAGAGAGGAGAAACCTCCTTGTAACCTTGGTGGACTGATGGAGATAGGTGTCCGCAACAAACAGTGGGTTGCCCCATTGCAATGCTTATTTTTTTAGCATCTTATTGAGCTGATTTTCCCCTCTGGCTCCAGGCCTAATTGGGCCCATGAGGCCATCTTCCCCAAACCACACATCTGTTCCACACCTGAGATCATGTGTGGAGCAGGTAAAGATTGATGGGGGTTGCTCTTGCTGCCAATCAGATGATGGGTGCTGAGAGCAAGCCCATGAGAGCAAGGGGAAACATGCAAAAGTGATATGAACTTCCACACATACTGAGGAAGACAAATAAGGGAAACATCCATGCAAACCGAAACCATGGTGTGGCCAGTCACGAAACTCCTCTGCTAACCAAGTTGGGCGTGGAAACAGGAGGAGCGGGAAATACGCTTCCTTGAGAGTCCTCCTTTATTATGCAAACCCACCATCCTGTGGCTCTTCCTGTGGGGAATTGTAGTGTTAACTAGCCACAGTTGTAAGTTGCAAATTCATAAATGAATACAAATCTGTAGCTGTCATAATTGGCAGATGACACTTCCTGGAGGATAAGCATGTACACCTCCCCAGTGACAGCAGCAGTGTACAAGAGTTGCCTCTCCAGAGAGTTCTAATGTACAAATTTGTTGGCAATCTTTCCTAAGGCGAACTGTTTTTAATTTAGAAGACGTCAACCTAGTTGTGCTGGTGAGAGGAATTAATAAGCCAAGGATGCAGGTTGGCAGTGCTGCAATAGCAAGTGGATATGTCTCCATTAATTGCTAGACTGTTGATGCTCTCCGGGGATGGGGGAGGAATGTGGTTTGGTTCACATCTGAATGTGGACGCACCTAACCTAGACTTCCCAAGACAATACGCCAAATGAAAACCAGCTTTCCTTTGAAATGCCCAATTGTCTGAAATTTGTGATGCAGTAACACAACAAAAAGTGTACCAGAAATGCATATGGAGGGGTGGGTGTGTTAAGGAAACTGGAACTGTCAGGTTCATCCATCATTAGCTCTCTGGAAAGACATTCATGAATCAGT